GAGAGAGAGAGGGAGAGGCAGAGGGAGAGGGAGAGGCAGAGGAAGAGGGAAAGGCAGAGGAGAGCCAGTGGGAGAGGGAGTCAGAAAATTGTAGGCAATAATTGAAAGAGGACAAACTGTCATGTGTACCTTGACGACATTAGGGTGCTTCAGCTTGGCCAACAGTGCTATTTCTAATGGTATACTGCCTAGAGGATCTTCTACCCAACAGTCTGGTAATACTTTAGATTTTCTTATGAATTTAACAACCACCTGCAGAAAAACAGACGAACATTACTTTAAAAGATCAGAGAGTAAGCCACAGATTATTGATTTTTTTTTTTGCTTCCCCTTTAAATTATACATTTCAATTTTATTTACTTTTTATCTTAATACTTATTTTTTAAACTCAAAAGAGGGACACTAGCCATTCAAACAACCCCTACAGATCTGCACAGGTTGGTTATGTCAATGGGTATAGAATTTCCATCAACTACTATTTGGAATACTTAATATTTTACCTGTAATCCATCTGACTTTCTCTGAGCAAGCTTCACAAAACCAAATGCTCCTTTGCCGATAGAATGCTGAGTGAGATATTTCTCATCATATTCTCCTCTCCCTGGGGAAGGTTCTTCTACCATACCACCATCCGTCAATGTGACAGGCATCTGTTATTACATTTAATTATTTTAATATATGATCAACAAATCAGTCATAAAATCACCAGTATCTACTGATTCTGATTCTGATATCAGAGAATCCAGGGGATCCAAAATAAGGAAGATGAATGCTTAGCATATGGGGTTGATGTACTAGGGTTTCATAGAAATAATCCAAAAGAAACCTTTTATCAAACTTTCATTACTGACTGTTTTCATTGCCATGTGCTAATCAAGACAAAAGTAACAACAGGTTATTGGCAGTAGACTACCATCAATCAAATAATGAATTAAAATTACAATATCCATATCATTCTGTACATTCAGGTACAGAATTACAGAATTTATTTGACCATAGCTAACATGGTGTCAAGAAGTCAATCAAGAAGTGCAAACTCAAACACTGGGCAGGGCAAGAATGATTGGTTTATTTGACCGTAGTCTAACATGGTGTCAAGAAGTCAATCAAGAAGTGCAAATTTAAACACTGGGCAGGGCAAGAATGACTGGTTTATTTTGTAGTATTAGTACTAACCTCTCCTGTATTAGCAAACGAATTCTCTAGTGTACTATTAAAGCTGGCAAATAAAGCAAAATTGTTTGTTGACTGGTCTTCTTCAGGGTCACGTGATATCCATGCACAGAACAGCATACGACCGTCGTTGAGTTCTATTCTCTTAATCTGCAGGAAATGAACACATAACGTGACTCACTGTGAGTTATTCATGGGTACTGACTTTTTTACTTATTATTTAATAAATAAAAATGTTAAAATAGCCTACTTCTGAGAAAAGCTTTGCTTGGTTTTAGGACAAGGCGATGTGCTAAATAACTAATTCTTTTCTCACGTTATAATGAATTACTGAGCATTATGCACAAAGCCTCAAATTGAAACCTTCATGCATGGCAAGCAAAGGATATCTCAGAAGTGGGCTATCAAATTTACTTTTTCTTGCCTTGTAGACCAAACCATTAATTTGGAAATTATATTCTTAGATCAAAGAAAGCATCTTATGCTAAGTCATAGCTCAGTAGCGGCACTTTGTGAAGGGGGAATGTCCCCCATCCCCTTTCCCCCTCCCCAAAGCACTGCTATGCAGGCTACTAAGTCGTTTTGAGACCCTGAGTGTTGGTCCAACCAATACTTGAACCACTGACATTGATCCCACACAACCAGGAGGTAGATAACAATTAATTTTTAAGGAATAATGTTGATAAATTGCAGCAGTATTGACCTGGAAAATAACTGCTAAAGGTGTTCCGTCTCTGTGTCTTCCCTTCCCAGAGAAACTGCCTTCACAAATGGGTTGATCAGGACCTTCCACCTCTGTCTCATATGCCGCTGTGACTATACTGGGTGTGGAGGTCAACCCATGTGAAGTGACCGGGGGTTTGGATGGTGTTAACGGACTGAATGCATTATTGCTGCTGTTTTGAGTTGATGATGATTCGTCCATTGTGGATATGTCTGTTGATGGATCATGGTTGTTTAAGGATTTTTCTGTTGAGTCTGAAAAATATGTGTAAAAAAAATTAAATTATTCTGCAATTTAACACTGACAGATACTATAGATGAAACATGATATTGTTGATTAACAATAATAATAATAATAATAATAATAATAATAACAATTTAATAACAATGTTTAAGCAGGAGGCTCACATCATCAAGGTGTTTTTCAGAGAGGTCCTGCATGATGATTTTTCTCTACCAATGTAATATAGTATATATAGTGTTGCCAATCTGAAATGCTGGCTTTAATAACCAAATTTTTATGTCAACTATGGCCTTGCAGACATTTTCTGGAGCGAATTCCCCTGCAATGCATCCTATTATGGACACCCTGTGAGGGTTCCAAGAAATTCTGCCATGGCAAGAGTTGACTGTATTTCTATTATTATATTTTATTAATATTATTATTGCTTATTTATGATTTTTTTTTTTCAGACAACCTACTTACCATCATTAGTTATCATGAGTTCCCCAAAGTTGAGCTGCAGAGAACAATCTGAACTAGTAAGCAAATGACTCCCTGCCGTCTGAAACGAATAGTTACTGAAGGGTGTGTTCTGTGTCTGTGGTGAAGAGACAATCGATGGCACAGAAGAATGCTGGGATACTATGGGTTGATCAGTGCTTCCACCAGACCCACCAATGCCGCTATCCTCTGTCATTGGTATACTAGGGTTACAACTCATGCTATCAAAATTAGTAGTTATGCTACTTTGATGTGATCTTTGTATGCCGGACGTTGTCTCAGAATTAGTTGTAGTAGAGGTTCCTTCTGATAGCCATCTTGGTGACATGCTTTTGGTTGTGTGGAAGCTTGCGGCAGAAGAGTTAGTGCTGTTGAGCAGACTTGCTGTGTTGTCAGAGCTGTTGGATTCATTCAGTCTTGAAAGATCTAAAAAAAGGAATAAATAAAATAGGAATAAGTCTTTGTTAGTTGATGTGCAAAATTGATTTTCTTGAGTTTCAGACCTTAAAAAATATGCACCATCATGTGACCATGCCTATAATACAGCTTGGGATGCCTTTTGGGATGCAATTTGTGAATAACTTTTACCATGCAGATACATATAATGGTGCATCTCTTTCAATTAAAAAAATGTATTTTATTAATAAGACCTGTATTTTTTTCAAAAAACTTTACCTGGGAATAAAGAACTTTTGGTGATTTGTTGACTGTCACCCATGATTGCTTGCGTTGAAATGTCATTGATGGCTGTATTGCCTGATAGAGTTAATTAATGTAAAAATCTTTGTTACTATCTTGATAAATAATGCAGTTAGTCATCAGTGACTGATATAAGGGATTTGCAGATTTTGTTAAAGACTTAGACAATAAAATTCTTTAAAATTACTTTTTATCATACTTAGAAAATTTGGCATTTAAAAAAAAAACCAGAGATATGTCCAGAGAGACCAGGGACAAAACAGTAGACCCCAGACTCAAGAGGATTTTAATATTACTATGCCTTGAGCTAATAGATCTTTTTTGAGTTCCAAATTACTGCTGTGTTTCTTGAGTACAAACTCATTTACATGCACTCAGGCTTAACTTCGTATCAGTGTCTTTGAAACATACACAAACACCAACAGTAAAGTAAAGAAGGTATAAGTTCCACAATACAATTACTTGGAAATTTCATGGACCTTCACTGGAATACATGAATATTCTACAGAAAGGCGAGGCTAACCCCGCTTGAGCTCAAACAGAGAAATGTAAACTGGTGTATTGAATGCACACTTACATGGTGAAGATAGAGTGTGCACAACATTCTTGGCATAAGAATCTTTTTGTCTGGTTTCATCGCTATTCACATTATAATGAATGATCCCTTCGTCATCATAGTCAAATGGTGGGAAGGGCATACTGCTGTCGTCAATCAAATCCATATCGTCATAGAAATTGGGTAGAATGGCTGTCACATGCTGTAAATAACAAGAAATTGAAATAAATTATTCGACATTAAGCTAGACATAAGCAAACTGAGCCCCTCCCTCTCTGCAGTCACTGTTGTATGTGATGCAGAGTTCAGTAAGATCAAACCCAAGAGGTGAGAGGCAACTGCTGCACTACCCTTGGTCCCCAAAAGTACTGTACAAACCTTGCCGACAAGTTCACTCTCCTGGTAACCAAAGAGGAACAACGAGAAGTTGTGATTACATGTTTGTATGACACCATCTGGCGTGAAGCTGATCAGACCACTGATATTAGCAAACACCCATACTAATCCCTTGTATGCTATTGAGCCATCTGGTATGATCCATCCGGCCTTCTTAAGCTCTTGCTGTGTTTTAGGCTTAATGACTACGGTTAACGGGAAGTTGTAGCCATCCTTTGTTCTTCCTGTGGCTTGCTGCTTTTTTACATGCTATAACCAATCAAATCAAAGTAATTAATGAATATTTTTGATAGGCTTATAACCAGGAGGAGCTAGTGGGGTTATATATTCAAATACAAACTAGATTAATATGAAGAGGAAACAGTTATTTCTAAGTTCTTTTATGTACCCAGTCAACTTTTTTAATAGCATCAATACAATAAACATGAGATATACCAGAGGTGGAATTATAATCCAAAGGGGGGAGGTGGGTCATAAGTGGGAGGATGTTTGTGTTTCGCATGCTAGTGAGCTTATAACTAGGAGGAAATTTTTATTGGCTACACTTGTCTTGTGGGATTATACACCGTCCTGTAACTAAGGGGGTTTATGACTGGAAGGATATTTTCATTAGCAGACTTGTGGCCTTTTGACCTGGGAGGCTTGTAACCCTGTAACTGGAAGGATACTGTATTTGTGTTAGCAGAGTAGTGGGGATTTAATCAGAGAGCCTTATAAGTGTGATTTTTCAGTACTGTATATCTTTCACTGTGGGAAAAATACTTACCCGTTCTAGAGTTGTACCAGTAGGAAGAACGAGAGAAGGAATAAAAGACTTGATATTTTTCCCTTTTACTTCATTCACATCAGCAAAACCATGAAGAAAGGCAAACTGTGGCTCACACTCTAGAATGACGCCCTTGGCGACAGGAAGGTAAAAAAAAAAATCAAACCATGTCACTAATCATTGAGTCAGGTACACAAGGTGTGGTAATAAAGGCAAACAAATTGTGGCAAAAAATAATGCTCATCCTTACAACCCCATGCACAACAGACAAGTATGTCTGACCATACTGCAATGCCCGATGGGAAGAAATGGTGGAATAACCACACAATCATGTGAAATATACAACTTAGGGTTTTCTGCATTCTGATTGGCTAGTATATTTAATGTATTGGGTGTAATTGCTTACCTCTGCATTGAAAAGTAACATGGCTGTTTTGCGTTCAACAGGTTCCATTATAGCAATACAACGGGGATCATCTTCCCATGATAGTTTCTTCATCCATAACGACACAGGGAAAATAATCCCTGTCTTGTCCACTGCTTCAAGCTACAAATATCGCATAAAATGGAAAATGAACATGACATACTGATTTTTTACTCTGCCATTTGCGAGCATCTTAGACATGAGGCAACAAGTAGGTTTTGAAAAGGTTTGACTCTCAGAAGTTTGTAACGTAAGACTTGCAAGTTTTACATATTGTGCAACTTTTTATTGTTAGTTGTTTGGAATGGTACCATTCAAAGAAAAACCCAAAGAATAACAGTTAAACCAATTAATGGAGAGACCTTAGCTAGCAAACTCTACTCACATGTGATCCTATATGTACATGTATGTGTACTAATGCTACAACACCTTTATTGTCCATAATGATTTTATAGATAGATACAGATATATATAGCTGGTAGAAACTATGCCATTACAAAAAAAACCTTTTACAACCATCACTCCCCATACAGGGCTCTTCTGTGTGGTTCGCACCACACACACTACACTACCACTACATTTCATATTTACAAATATGCAATACTCAACCACATGTAACATCATGTTGATTATTACTGAGGGAGGAAAACTAGAGAAACTTAGAGAAAAACTCTCCTGGAAAGGGAGAGAACAGTGCATCAAACAAACTCAACTCACATATGATCCAGTCTAAGCCAGGGCTCGAACCCAGAGCACAGCAGTGAGAGGTGAGCGATAAACCACTAGGCCACCCATACCACAAAAAGCAGTCATATTATCATCATAACTAGATAAGTACTCATTGGGAAAAGGGATTTATTGAGCACTAGATATTTGTGGGGCTGCAGGAAGCTTACCACTTTGCCGGAGACCATAACAACAGCTCCACTGCCTTCAATATGCTGTTCCATCAAGGATTCTTGTTTCTCCCTATGGGTGTCAGTAAATAAGGTGGACATCTCCATGCCAATCAGCTCATCTCTTGGGTAGTTGAACAGCTCTACTGCCATGTCGTTAGCCATCAGGATCTCGGATGTTCTGGCATTGATCGTCAGGATAGCTTTATTCTATTTCATTAAGTAATGTAAAAGTAAAGTTTATATAGAGTCTGAAAGCTCTTTCATTGGTACCTCATGTACCGTAAGATGATAAAACTTGACAGTATAATAATCAGAATGACAGTGAAGGTGTACAACCATTGAATGATGGAGATGATACTGACCAGTGGACTAGTGATGGCACTTATTGTGTAGCGTACACTACAGTAATATTTGATGATGATGATGATGATGATGACGACAAAATTTATATGACAACATGGTATTAGTATGACATTTTCATCATAAAGTATCATATTCCTTCACAAACTCCTCCCTTAAATTACAGCCATTATGCAATCATGTTTTAGGAGTTTATAATTCCACCAGCATATGGTGGCACTACATGTATATCAAGCGCCTCAGCTTATCAATATCCTGCATACAGTAGATACTGGTAATAACTTACATGTTGCTCTCTACATGTAGATACTTACAGGATTTCTGACAGTGGTGGGGAATATGGCACCAGTTCCAGCTCCGCCAACAAAGTTATAAAACTGCCAAGAGGTGTTGAGTCTAGAAGCGTCAATGTTGGCAGCAAAAGACCCTCTGAAGTGACTAGGTGAAAAACTAAAACTATGCAGGGAGTCACCTGCAAGGACAAGATTATTCTTAACTTTATATCATTAACCAAAAAATAAAAAGAAATTTTAAATTTATCAATACTCTAAAATGGTTGGTTCCTAAAACAACCTCAGGGCTGATCGGGCTGATCAAAGTCATTGGCATAATATGGTGAATTCACAGATCAAATTGGAATTTAGCAGGTCTAAAAAAAAATTAGTGGAATGAGAAAAGCTGGCCGAGAACATGCAGAAAAAACCTAGAATCAAGAGTAGAAAATTAACAAACTCTACTCAGATATGAGATGGTGAGTCCAGGAATCAAACCTGAGACGCCAGAGGTGAGAGGCAAGTGCATGCTATTGGCCAAATGCCGTGGCATTCAATGAAAGCAATATAAACCTCTTTGGCTTAGGCATAATGTTTTCCCATTTCAGACATGTCATTCCCTAGAACATCATTTCTTTTTTTAACTATTGTGCAAGAGAAGATGCATGAATATGTATACAATTCAAACAATGAATCATATTCTCAGGAGAATAACATGTGGTCTGAAATGGGAAAACATTATGCTCAGGAGCTGAGGAGGTATATCATTATAATTTTATTCTCAATCTTTCACTATATTTGCTAGTACACTGTCACAAGCTGTATTTTTTTAGGTCCTTTTTGCCATTCAGAATGACCAGTTCAATATACCTGTTATTTGATGGAGTGTTGCTTTATTATGTGTATCCATCTCCACTTCTTCCTTTATAGCCTTAGGTCTGTGCATTTTGGGAAAGGTTGCATTCAAATCCATTGAGTCCTGTAAAGATGATGACAAGCCTCCTCTAATGCGGTCTAACGGTGATGGGTAACTTGGTGTACCAAAGGTATCTTGGAGGCCACCTAATCCTCTTAATGATCTGCCAAGGGATTTATTATCCTGTGGAATAAATGTTCCATTAATTTTATAAATGATACATAAGATATTGACTCTTGCTTTGATAATAATGGGGTTAAATACTTGCTATGTCAATAGCCTTGGTCATTCTCCCATTAAACTTCTACCCAACTTTTGTATCCTATCATTTCTTATCTACCCATCTCTTTCACATATCTTAAAATTCCTTTCTACAATAATTTTAATTTTTATAATGACAATCACTTCAGTATTTCAGTATTTAAATTACCTTTTTCTCTAATACTTATTTTCATGGAATAACACAAAAAAGGAAAGAAAGAAAGAAAGAAAAAAAAAACAAGAGAAAAAGAATATCGTTAATTATAAATAAAATGAATATTACAATAGGAATAGTACTAGGAAAATTTCCTTCCAAAATAAAGACTGCATCTGTATAAGCTTTTAAAATTCTTAAAATGGATAGTATCATTCACTGCTAATTCAATAACCTATCTAATGTATACAGCAATCGGTAAATCCACTTATCAGACCCATTATGTTATATAAGCAGCTAACACTTTATTGGACATGGAAATCATGGGAAAAAATATTTAAAAAAGACATTTAAATGTAACAGCTAAAAGAATATATTTTAGAATTTAACCTAATTTTATATTTAACACTGAATTAAATTTTTACATTTACTGTCATGTGATAAATTAAAATAATTTGTGCACGAAAATGATGTCAAAGAACCCATAAATAACTTAGCTATTTCAAAACAAAATTTATATTTTACTATTCTAGAATGCTAATATTGT